ACCTGTTCCCTCCCCCTCTGCTCCCTTACCCTGCCAGCCTCTAGTAACCACTGTTCTATTCTCTACTTCTATGAAAACCACTTTTTTCCCCTTTTGTTTTAGATTCCGCATATAATGGCTGTTATAAAAAAGACAGAAAACAACAAATCCTGGCAAGGATGTAGAGAGAAAGGTACTCTCATACACTGTTGTTAAGAAGGAAATTAATACAGCCATTATGGAAAACAGTATGGAGGTTCCTCAAAAAAACAAAAAAAATAGAATTACCATATGATCCAACAATCTTACTACTGGGTATAAATCCAAAGTAAATAAAAAGGGACACCTGCACTCCCCTGTTCACTGCAGCACTATTCACAATAGCTGAGAGAGGGAATCAACCTAAATATTCGTCAATGGATAAATGGATTTTTTTTAAAAAGTGGTATATATACACAATGAAATACCATTCTGCTATAAAAAAAGAATGAAATCCTGTCATTTGCAGTCACATGGATGAGCTGGAGACCATCATGTTAAGTAAGCTGGCACAGAAAAGCAAATATCCCATTTAGTTTTCATAATAATCCTGTGAGGATGACATAATTCTTCCTATTTTACAGGTGAGAGGTAAAGGGATTTGCCCAGTGTCACATAACTTAAAAGTGGTGGAAGCAGGATTAGAATCCAAGGCTTTGGGCTGCAATCCCAGAGCCTTTTCGCCGTCTCATGGAGCGTCCCTGTTGATCGTTGATCACATCCCACCTCTTCACCTCCGTGCATCCCCACCGCCTGTGCTCTTTGGTGCATTTCGCTAACACTCACGTGGGAGTACAAGATTCCCTTCATATCTCACCAGTGGAATTTTCCTTTGGTTGCTGCTATTTAAAGGTTGTCAAAATAGTGGCTGCCACCTCAAACTAGGCTTGTTACCATTTTCATGTAGTAAATATCAGCAATATTGAGAAATTCTCTAATGTTTAAATGAGTATAGTCAACTGGGGAAAAAGGGAAGTTGTCTTTTAGCAATTCTATACCATGTTTCTCCCTGTGGTCAGCTGGGCTGGTGAGGGAGGTGCCTGTTTGTTGCCATTCCTGTCCTGTTGCATTTGTATATATAGCTGTAGCTCATTGATACTGTTTTTTCTGTGTTTATGTGGCATGGTGTGTGTGTGTGTGTGTGTGTGTGTTTGTGTACACAAGTGTGGGTACCTGTAATTGGTAGGACCACATTAAGAGATGACTGACAATAAAGGAGAATGAAATGATGGTTCTTTCTCTTCTTGCTGCTAGCTGGAAGGCATTTGGGTTTGATATGTACATGCTGTGTGTGCACATGTGTGTGCCTGCAATGTTATGCATGTGCACAGGTGCGTGTATAGGTGTGTGTCTGCAATGTTTTGTATGTTTAGAAGTGTGTGCACAGATGTGTATCTGCATTGTTATGTATGTGCACAGGTGTGTGTCTGCATTGTTATGTATGTGCACAGGTGTGTGTCTGCATTGTTATGTATCCCACCTCTATTTTCTTTAGAAGTTAAAAGAAAATGGCTAGAAAACTGTGCTTGATATATGCCCAGTTTACATCAGATAAGGAAGAGCCCCAAAGCCCCGTTGCTGCAGTTTCAGGTGTAATCGGATTTTCACTTGCATGGAAAACTCTGATTGGACAAGGGCTGATGGGCAGCTTGGCTCAGCGTGGCTCAGCAGAAGCAGTTCGGGTGGCTCTGCCCAGTCACACCAGAACCAATGCTGCCCGCTTCTGTTTCCTCCCTGTTTTCTTAGTAAAATAGCTATGGTATACACCAAGGGGTAGATTTCCCACTGCCATGTGCACAGCCTCAGTGTGTGCATTTTTACACATTTAATAGTCTGGTCAAACAAACACACAAAGCACAGCAGAATTCATCCCCATGTTTCTTAGTTGTGGTTGTTGTTTTTTTTTTAAATGGTGTCATTTGAACAATAGGTGCTCTATATATTCATGTGTCTATACCTCCTTCTTAAATTACTTTATACTTTTCAGAATTTAAATATTATGATTGAAAAGGGTTAACAATAGCATATCCTTGAAGCTGAAATAGTTTATAAACCCACCAATGGATTATTAAGAACTGGTAAAATTAGCTTATTTAAATGCACCTCTCTACTGATAGTTTGTATGGTTTAAGGGAATCTAACATTTGGTCAGCTCTAAGAATTATCTTTCTTTGGAGTATGCCCACTTCCAATGTTTCCCCTCTAATCTTCTCCATGCTCTGCACAACATTCATACTGAGAGTTACCTCTTGCCTTGGATCTTTAAATTTCTTATATCTGCTCTCTGCTCCCTCTCCCAGGAACACCACTAACTAACCTCAACAATGTTACCTTTTGAAATCCCTTGTGTCCTTAAAGACTGAACTCGGATGCCACAAGTTTCCATTCTATAGTCTCTTAGTCAGCTCGGGCTGCTATAACAAATACCACAGACTGGGTGCCTTATTAACAACAGACATTTATATCTCACAGTTCTAGAGGCTGGAAGTCTGAGATCAGGGTGCCAGCATAGTTGGGTTCTGGGGAGGACCCTCTTCCTGGCTGCAGATGGCTTGCCTTCTCTTTGCATCTGCATGTGGTGAAAAGAGGGCAAGAGAGCTCTCTGGGGTCCCTTTCATAAGGGCACAAATCCCATGCCTGAGGGCTCCACTCTAGTAACCTAACTACCCACCCCCCCCAAAGACCCACCTCCTAACACCATCACATTTGGGGTTAGGATTCCAACATATAAACTTTGGGAGATACACACATTCAGTCTGCCTCATACAGTCACGGATTCCACAAGCAAATGTAAATTGCACCCTTGTCTGTGGACATTGCTGTCCTGTGCTCTAACACTCATGCATTCTATTAAACAGGAGTTGTATGTACACGCCCAATCACCCCAGGGAGAGGAAGCTCATGAAGGACTAAAAAGATTCTCTTTTTAGTCCTCTCCTGATGCTTTGCTACTAGCACCTAGTACAAAGGTATGCAGAGAGGAGATGTGAGGAAAACCTTTAATTTATGCATTTCAAAAGCGAGCCAAGCCTCCTATCTTTGCATGTCTAGTGAATCTTGTACAAATCTCCAAATGTGCATAATGAATTGTAATGGGTTATTCATTTATTTATACCCCCAATTGAAGGTAAACACCTTGAAATCAAATACGTATCATTCGTATTTGTACCGTCAGTACATTACAAAATGCCTGGCACATAATAAATGTTTGAAAAAAAAATTCTACTCATTCTTCAAGATTTTTCCATGAAGTTTTCCTTAACCCACTCAAACTGACCGTTCTGTCCTTGGAAAGTCACAGATATAGCACACGGTACTCTTCACCTTGCATTACAGTTAGTGGCCTCTGTCCTCTTCCTGTGATCTCTCCTTCCAAAACATAAGCTCATTCATTCCCTAGGATAAGATCCATGGTTGATTGTATTTACATCCTTCACAGGCCTTGTATACATTAGGTTTTAAATATGTATTTATGGAACAGAAAAATGTTTTATAAATTTAGATTATAGTAAAACAACTGCAGAATGTATTCCTTTTGTTGGAGAAAGATGCACCAATATTGACCAGTGTCAGCTCTTGGGTTACCTTAATGCTTCATCAATTTATAATTTTTTACAAATTACCATTTCAGCTTTAGATTTAAATGATACCATAATTTGTCTACAGATTCTTGCAAATCAGTTTCTTCAGAGCATAGAATTTAGAAGTCAAAAATGATGTATTAGATATATGCAGAATATATTTTGAAACAATTCATTTCAAAACTGTAATGTTTCACAATATAAAAGTTTAGCAAATAGATAGTTTAGTATCTTCATTGTTCTGTTGGGAATAACGGACTAATTAAAATAAATTCTTAGTGAATTAGAATGGATATTATTCTTTTTGTAGCTAGCCTTTAAATATTACACACACATATACTATGCCCCACTGAAACTCACTTTTAAATACAACCCTCCTAATAAATAATATGGTAGAGACCTTTCCAAACCATTAACAGTGGAATTAAAATTTAAATAAGAGGAAGTCTGAACAAAACCTTGTGATCAAGAAGTAGTCATAGATTATCCAATGGAAAATTATATAAATGAACATAGCCATTCACTGTAAACTAGATGCACAACTATTTGTCAATAAGAAGGATTTGGTAAAATTTGGTCCACTTTACAGTCTTCCTTAATGGTTCAGTTATGAAAGTATGATAGAATTTCACTATGAGGTGCCCTCTCCTGTGAATGGGGCCAACAGCACAACCCTCAGCACAGAGCTACACCTTTCTGTCTCGTTGCAGTTGTTTGATCTTGGTAAGGAGCTTACCAGTTGCTTGATTTTACAATGACCTCAAAAAGGAAATCTATGGATAAACCAGCTTGCAAATAATAAAATGCATAGAAATAGGCTACTGTAAAGAACACATCTGAGACCACGTATTGGGCATTTCCACAGTAGAATCCACAGGATAAAAATATAGCATTCAAGGCAGAGACTACTTCTCTGCTATGTTGCCAAGAGCCTGTACCACGACTGTGGGAACAGAACGGAGAAAAGAATGTGGCTCCATGCCCCAGACATGAGCAGCCCTGGCATGCTGTTGACAATTGGCTGAATTTTCATTATCCTCTTCAATTATATTTCTAGGACAGCAAAACTTTAAACCCCAGCTATAGCAGAGCAGTGGGTCTTTTTCTGTTACATTTTTAAACAGACGTGTATGGAGACCATTGGACTGTGGGAACAGAACGGAGAAAAGAATGTGGCTCCATGCCCCAGACATGAGCAGCCCTGGCATGCTGTTGACAATTGGCTGAATTTTCATTATCCTCTTCAATTATATTTCTAGGACAGCAAAACTTTAAACCCCAGCTATAGCAGAGCAGTGGGTCTTTTTCTGTTACATTTTTAAACAGACGTGTATGGAGACCATTGATAATCTAAGCCAACAAAGACCTAAGTAGGTAAAATGAAGCATTCTTCTTCCTTACTTTTAACCGTGAGGTACATGGACTTGCTGACGTCTGCGCCCACATCGTTGCTGACCTTGCAGAGATAGTAGCCGCTGTCTTCTTCCACAACGTGCTTGATCAACAACGACCCATTGCTGAGAACCTGGATTCGGCCATTCAGGGCAATTGGCTGGAACTGGGGAACCCCAGCACCTGGGATAGAATAAAGAAAAGGAAAATGATGCAAACACGCACAAGCATGAGCAGGCAACGGGCTCACGTTCACCCAGGCCAGTGACGAGACAACACGGATGCCTGGCCGGGATCACGCAGGGCAGTCCCCGATACACCCAGTTTTTCTTTCTCTCCTCAACATTGGAATTTTTGTTTAGATAGAAACACATGTATTAAAAATGACAGTATTTTAGGCTCTGAGATAAAAACTAAGAGAGCTTACAGATAGTTTCTACATGAAAAGTCAAATTTGTTGAGTGTTAAGTAGCTGATAAATTATTCAAAGAAATCACAGTGGAACAACCATAGAAGTAGACATCGCTCATGGTACTAAATACATTCCTTGTGTTCCCAGGGACTTAATATGAATGTAAACAAGAGAGTGATCCAGACACATGGCATGTGAAGTCCTTGTTTGCTGTACATGCCCGAGGCTGCAAAGCGAATACCAGTATTGCAGATTTCTCTTCTAAGTGTGGTTGTATCCTAGCCTAGAAACACAGTGCCCTACTAATATCACTGAATGTTATTTAAGTAAATAAGTCAGGTCATTTCAATAGAAATTATTCAAAGTGAAACAAAAGGAGCAAAAGAGTGAAAAATACAGAATAGCTCATGCTAGAGACCTGAAATAATATCAAATATTCTAACATTAAGGAATCATCATCTTAGAAGAAGAAGAAAAGAGAGAAAGATGGGGTAAGATGAAATAATATCTGAAAATAATAATAATATTGAAAATAATAATAATACCTGAAATAATATCTGAAACACAAATGACTTCATTACTACTGTCAATCCACTTGACATTTATAGAACTCTGTACTCAACAATAGCAGAATATATATTAGTTTCCAGTGCCCATGGCCTAGTCACTGCAATGCACTGAATGTTTACATACCCCCCAAATTCCTGTGTTGGAATCCTAATGCACAATGGGAGGGTATTAGGAGGTGGAGACTTTGGGAGCTGATTAAACCATGGGGTTAGTGCCCATATAAATGGTACCACAGAGCACTGTTTCACTCTCTTTCTGCCATGTGAGGATACAAAGAGAAGATTATAGTCTTCAGCCTGCAGGAAAAGGACCCTCAGCAGAACCTGACTGTAGTGGATTGAATTATGTCTCCCCAAAACTCACCAAAGCTTGAATTGTGACCCCCAAGTTTTATGTATTAGAAACTTAGCCCCCAATGTGATGGTTAAGAGGGTGATAAATCCTATTATGGTAACTGAAAGGTGGAGCCTTGAAAAGGTGATTAGATTGTAGGACCATGAGGTAGTGAATGGATTAAAAATGGTGGTCAGAGGTGTGCTTCTGAGGGCTTTAAAAGAAAAGAAGTTGGAGGAGAGTCTGTCTCTCTTTCTTTCTCTGCTTCTACCATCTTGCAACATGAGACCCTGGGTCACTGTCACCACCACCGGATATGTTCCTTGGACTCTGGACTTCTCAGCCTCAGAAACTGTAAGCAGTAAATTTTGTTTTCTTTATAAATTACCCAGTTCCGTGTATTTTGTTATAAGCAACAGAAATGGACTAATACACTGACCATGCTGGCACTGTGATCTTAGACCATCAGCATCCACAACTGTGAGAAATAAATATCTGATATTTAAGCCAGCCAGTCTATGATAATTTGTTATAGCAGCCTGAACAGACTAAGTTAGGCACCAAAAGAGACTATTGTGGGCCGTGACAGAAATTTCAATAAATATTATAAGATAAGAATAATATGAAATGTTTTATTTACACAGCACAATTAAAATTGAAATCCATAACAGAAATATATATGGGAAAACTAAATATTTGATATAAAACAACACACTTCTAAGTAACTTATGGGTCAAAGAAGAAATCACTGGAGATACTAGAAAAAAATATTTTAAGTTGAGTAAAAATGAAAAAACAGCATATCAAAATTTAATAAAATGCTGGTAGAGTTTGAGAAAGTTACAGGATTGTCCATGTTAACAACACAGATTTTTTCCTTTTCTCAAAGAATTTCCACCAGAAAAATACTTGTAATAGTTGAAACATTTATATGAAAGAATCACAACATGAACTTTAACTACATTGCTAAGCTATCTCAATCAAATACGGAAAATGATGACCTGTTAATTCTTATCTAGACCAAGATAAGCCTCTTTATTACTAAAATGACCTAATGAAGACAGAAATAAAGTATTAAGTGCATTTGAAAAACACTAAATCCTTTTTCATCAGAAAAATGAACCTAAGTTGAATGGTTACAGCACCTATTGATCTGATCATGCTTACTAAACAGAATAATAGTGGACACACTGCCAACCAATGCATCAGCCTTGAGGACTACAGCTCCAAGGGCCAGCACTTGTTTAATTCTTTTTCATCAGAAAAATGAACCTAAGTTGAATGGTTACAGCACCTATTGATCTGATCATGCTTACTAAACAGAATAATAGTGGACGCACTGCCAACCAATGCATCAGCCTTGAGGACTACAGCTCCAAGGGCCAGCACTTGTTTAATTTGAAGGAAGAAGACTTCACCATGGTTTGTGGAATTACCAGGTCGTCTACTTTAGATCCATCATTATTCTAAAGAGTAAAATTTAGCCCAGTGCATCAACATGCAAAATCCTGTAATCTTCTTAGCTCAAGATAAGCACTTTGGGTAATTAACTAGAACACACAATATAGCAACCAACAGCCATTAATTATAAAGCTGTCAATTTTCTGTGGCTAGCTAGGGTCAAGTGGGGATAATTTTAATGCTCCATTACATGAAAATCAAATGTTAAAGCATTATATAAGGCATAGACTGAAATACTGGTTGTGTTAATACTGGGTGACCTTTTTAATTTATTGAAAAGATATGCTGAGCTGTGTTCCCAGGGACTGGAGGTATGGGAATAGTGGGAAAAGAAGAGCTGAGATCACCAAGTGAGCCCACTTTGAAAGCAGCAGCAAATAAGGCCATTGTTTCATCTTTTCTTTCACTCTTAAGTCTTTGCTGGTCTGTAGAGAGGGCACTTGGCTAAGGGTCAAAGTGACCCTTCATACCCTCTGAAACTCACTAACTGTACCTTTGAGCAAGTGGCATATTCTCTCTGCTTCCTTAACTTCATCATACATGAAATGTGGGGAATAATCCAGCCACATATGATATAGGATTGTCGTTCAAATCAAGGGAAACAAGACTGTATGAATGTGAGTGGAAACGCCCACATGTAAAGACCAGAAGACGCTGGCCAGTGAGCACATTCAGAGAGCCCCTAGCAAGGCAGAAGAAGGTTGATGTGGAGTATAACAGACAAGTGGGAAGGACACCTCTTTAAGCTCCCTAGTTGCATCCAAGTGAATGGTAATGCTGTAAGCTATTCTTTCTTTTCCCCAAGGATCAGAAACACAATCCCTTTCATCCTTATGGAGCAAGGGTTGCTTTCCTAGAGAATGAGTCTGTTTTTCCTCTCAGGAGCGGGTTTTCTTCTTTGAGAACAATTGGGGGNTATAGCATTCAAGGCAGAGACTACTTCTCTGCTATGTTGCCAAGAGCCTGTACCACGACTGTGGGAACAGAACAGAGAAAAGAATGTGGCTCCATGCCCCAGACATGAGCAGCCCTGGCATGCTGTTGACAATTGGCTGAATTTTCATTATCCTCTTCAATTATATTTCTAGGACAGCAAAACTTTAAACCCCAGCTATAGCAGAGCAGTGGGTCTTTTTCTGTTACATTTTTAAACAGACGTGTATGGAGACCATTGATAATCTAAGCCAACAAAGACCTAAGTAGGTAAAATGAAGCATTCTTCTTCCTTACTTTTAACCGTGAGGTACATGGACTTGCTGACGTCTGCGCCCACATCGTTGCTGACCTTGCAGAGATAGTAGCCGCTGTCTTCTTCCACAACGTGCTTGATCAACAACGACCCATTGCTGAGAACCTGGATTCGGCCATTCAGGGCAATTGGCTGGAACTGGGGAACCCCAGCACCTGGGATAGAATAAAGAAAAGGAAAATGATGCAAACACGCACAAGCATGAGCAGGCAACGGGCTCACGTTCACCCAGGCCAGTGACGAGACAACACGGATGCCTGGCCGGGATCACGCAGGGCAGTCCCCGATACACCCAGTTTTTCTTTCTCTCCTCAACATTGGAATTTTTGTTTAGATAGAAACACATGTATTAAAAATGACAGTATTTTAGGCTCTGAGATAAAAACTAAGAGAGCTTACAGATAGTTTCTACATGAAAAGTCAAATTTGTTGAGTGTTAAGTAGCTGATAAATTATTCAAAGAAATCACAGTGGAACAACCATAGAAGTAGACATCGCTCATGGTACTAAATACATTCCTTGTGTTCCCAGGGACTTAATATGAATGTAAACAAGAGAGTGATCCAGACACATGGCATGTGAAGTCCTTGTTTGCTGTACATGCCCGAGGCTGCAAAGCGAATACCAGTATTGCAGATTTCTCTTCTAAGTGTGGTTGTATCCTAGCCTAGAAACACAGTGCCCTACTAATATCACTGAATGTTATTTAAGTAAATAAGTCAGGTCATTTCAATAGAAATTATTCAAAGTGAAACAAAAGGAGCAAAAGAGTGAAAAATACAGAATAGCTCATGCTAGAGACCTGAAATAATATCAAATATTCTAACATTAAGGAATCATCATCTTAGAAGAAGAAGAAAAGAGAGAAAGATGGGGTAAGATGAAATAATATCTGAAAATAATAATAATATTGAAAATAATAATAATACCTGAAATAATATCTGAAACACAAATGACTTCATTACTACTGTCAATCCACTTGACATTTATAGAACTCTGTACTCAACAATAGCAGAATATATATTAGTTTCCAGTGCCCATGGCCTAGTCACTGCAATGCACTGAATGTTTACATACCCCCCAAATTCCTGTGTTGGAATCCTAATGCACAATGGGAGGGTATTAGGAGGTGGAGACTTTGGGAGCTGATTAAACCATGGGGTTAGTGCCCATATAAATGGTACCACAGAGCACTGTTTCACTCTCTTTCTGCCATGTGAGGATACAAAGAGAAGATTATAGTCTTCAGCCTGCAGGAAAAGGGCCCTCAGCAGAACCTGACTGTAGTGGATTGAATTATGTCTCCCCAAAACTCACCAAAGCTTGAATTGTGACCCCCAAGTTTTATGTATTAGAAACTTAGCCCCCAATGTGATGGTTAAGAGGGTGATAAATCCTATTATGGTAACTGAAAGGTGGAGCCTTGAAAAGGTGATTAGATTGTAGGACCATGAGGTAGTGAATGGATTAAAAATGGTGGTCAGAGGTGTGCTTCTGAGGGCTTTAAAAGAAAAGAAGTTGGAGGAGAGTCTGTCTCTCTTTCTTTCTCTGCTTCTACCATCTTGCAACATGAGACCCTGGGTCACTGTCACCACCACCGGATATGTTCCTTGGACTCTGGACTTCTCAGCCTCAGAAACTGTAAGCAGTAAATTTTGTTTTCTTTATAAATTACCCAGTTCCGTGTATTTTGTTATAAGCAACAGAAATGGACTAATACACTGACCATGCTGGCACTGTGATCTTAGACCATCAGCATCCACAACTGTGAGAAATAAATATCTGATATTTAAGCCAGCCAGTCTATGATAATTTGTTATAGCAGCCTGAACAGACTAAGTTAGGCACCAAAAGAGACTATTGTGGGCCGTGACAGAAATTTCAATAAATATTATAAGATAAGAATAATATGAAATGTTTTATTTACACAGCACAATTAAAATTGAAATCCATAACAGAAATACATATGGGAAAACTAAATATTTGATATAAAACAACACACTTCTAAGTAACTTATGGGTCAAAGAAGAAATCACTGGAGATACTAGAAAAAAATATTTTAAGTTGAGTAAAAATGAAAAAACAGCATATCAAAATTTAATAAAATGCTGGTAGAGTTTGAGAAAGTTACAGGATTGTCCATGTTAACAACACAGATTTTTTCCTTTTCTCAAAGAATTTCCACCAGAAAAATACTTGTAATAGTTGAAACATTTATATGAAAGAATCACAACATGAACTTTAACTACATTGCTAAGCTATCTCAATCAAATACGGAAAATGATGACCTGTTAATTCTTATCTAGACCAAGATAAGCCTCTTTATTACTAAAATGACCTAATGAAGACAGAAATAAAGTATTAAGTGCATTTGAAAAACACTAAATCTTTTTTCATCAGAAAAATGAACCTAAGTTGAATGGTTACAGCACCTATTGATCTGATCATGCTTACTAAACAGAATAATAGTGGACACACTGCCAACCAATGCATCAGCCTTGAGGACTACAGCTCCAAGGGCCAGCACTTGTTTAATTTGAAGGAAGAAGACTTCACCATGGTTTGTGGAATTACCAGGTCGTCTACTTTAGATCCATCATTATTCTAAAGAGTAAAATTTAGCCCAGTGCATCAACATGCAAAATCCTGTAATCTTCTTAGCTCAAGATAAGCACTTTGGGTAATTAACTAGAACACACAATATAGCAACCAACAGCCATTAATTATAAAGCTGTCAATTTTCTGTGGCTAGCTAGGGTCAAGTGGGGATAATTTTAATGCTCCATTACATGAAAATCAAATGTTAAAGCATTATATAAGGCATAGACTGAAATACTGGTTGTGTTAATACTGGGTGACCTTTTTAATTTATTGAAAAGATATGCTGAGCTGTGTTCCCAGGGACTGGAGGTATGGGAATAGTGGGAAAAGAAGAGCTGAGATCACCAAGTGAGCCCACTTTGAAAGCAGCAGCAAATAAGGCCATTGTTTCATCTTTTCTTTCACTCTTAAGTCTTTGCTGGTCTGTAGAGAGGGCACTTGGCTAAGGGTCAAAGTGACCCTTCATACCCTCTGAAACTCACTAACTGTACCTTTGAGCAAGTGGCATATTCTCTCTGCTTCCTTAACTTCATCATACATGAAATGTGGGGAATAATCCAGCCACATATGATATAGGATTGTCGTTCAAATCAAGGGAAACAAGACTGTATGAATGTGAGTGGAAACGCCCACATGTAAAGACCAGAAGACGCTGGCCAGTGAGCACATTCAGAGAGCCCCTAGCAAGGCAGAAGAAGGTTGATGTGGAGTATAACAGACAAGTGGGAAGGACACCTCTTTAAGCTCCCTAGTTGCATCCAAGTGAATGGTAATGCTGTAAGCTATTCTTTCTTTTCCCCAAGGATCAGAAACACAATCCCTTTCATCCTTATGGAGCAAGGGTTGCTTTCCTAGAGAATGAGTCTGTTTTTCCTCTCAGGAGCGGGTTTTCTTCTTTGAGAACAATTGGGGGCTTCAGGGGATGAGTAGGTACAAGGACAGAGGTGGAGATGGGAAGAGAAGAAGACAATTACAGCAACAGCAGGTGCACGTGACGAAGGTTGTGTGGCTTGCTCAGTGAAGGGGTGCCGAGGGGGTCTGGGTGTCCTGTTACAGAGGAGAGCCCAGAGTGGGCAGAGGCCCAGTCCTGAGACATGGTCTGAGTGCTGTTCCCAAGCCCACAGGAAGAAGCTTCCATCACTGGACAATTTGTGCATGCGATGTGTTGTCTATACATTTGTGTCAGATGCTGTCTGTGGATCCTTAGCACTACCCCTTACTCTAAACTCTTCCCTAAATTGAAAGGACTGGAAGCCTGAAAACTATATTTCTTGACTTCTTTGTCACGGAATTCTGGTTTATGTTTTACCAGTGAGAGGCCCTTGAAAACAATTTGGAAGGTGCAAAAAAGAATCATTATTCTCCTTTAGAAGCAGCAAATTGATACACGGGCAGACACCAAACATCAGGCTTATTAGCTGCCTTTGGGAGAACTTTGACAAATTACTGCTTTGATGCTACCAGCAGTTCTCACCACTGACGGGAGCGCCTTCTCATGGTTCCTCCATTTCTCAGGTACCGGAAAGGCAACTGGGTTTGTCTCATCCTTCCAAAAATTCTACATGCATCTAATTCCTTGTATTAAAGCCCTTCTTGATAAAACACTAAACCCTAACTGAGAGCATCCAAGCTACTTCTTTGGTAAGTCTGCACATATATGTTCACTGTGCAATTCAGTTATTGTCACTTAATTCCTTTATTTCTGTGTTGAAGAATGTTACCTATTGAAACACTGAAGCTTTGTGGACTAGATTAGTGCCGGCTTGGCTCAGCAGTTGTTATGACTGGTAGTCCACCAGTTTAGCCTGTCAGTATCATGACTGCAATTCTGTACCTAATATCCAAGAATACCTTTTTAACCCCAAGGTAAAACAATGGCCCTTCACTGACTTGCCTGAAAACTGAACTGTAAACAGACCATAATTCAGCTCTTGCCAATGAGACATGTGACCTTGTGATACCAGAGGCAGTGAGGTGGCTCAATCATGCTATGCCCATGGCTTTGCTGCAAGACTGTGAGGAGCCCCTGAAGCTGTGTCCCCCACCCAAGGTCTCCAGCCACCACTTCCCTGGAACAAGAGCTTCCCTAATATTTGCCCTCAGTGTGACTGACTCCACCCACAAGAAGACTGCTAGAAAGTTCCTGGGGAGAGAGATGAGAAAGATGGAAGATGGAGGAGTGGAGAGGGACAAACAAAGGGAGGGCAAGCTGGGCCCTGGGGTTACTGTCCTGGTGATTCCATCAGTACTTGGGCAGCTGCAGTGTCCTAGGGTGAGGAGCCTACAGTGGTCTTACGGTGGTTCCCAGGGCCACTGAGACTCTGCTTGTGTTAGCACAGGGGAAGGCAGAAAGTTTCACCTTCGGTAAGTTCTTTTCTACCATCTGTTGAACACTTACCTTCTCTGTTCTGCTTATAACCTTTTCCGAAGAACTCATTATTGCTTAGTGAGGCCCACTGTCCCTACTTGAGGCCCATTGTCCCTACTTGGGTAGCACAAGCAGAGCTGCTTCTGTCGTACACAAGGGACCCACACTGGACTCTGAAGTTGGGTT